ATCAAAGAATATAAAGAAATTGGGGCTTGTCAGTTGGTACGTAAAGGAGTTGTCATTCGGTACCTAACTCTAAGTATGTATTGGTAGAATTTTTGTATTAGTATTGGAGCTCCAACCACTTTCACCACACTTTCCAAACATACATACTTGTATAAAATCGTACATGAAAATTTTAGGAAAAATAAATAACATTTAAATTTCTACATTCGCAGATTTTTTAATTTATTTTGCCCACATCTAATCAGTAAACATTTAATAAATATATTTTTCGGACTTAAAATCTGTTTTTTTGCAAAAAAATAAGTTTATTTTAAATAATTTTTTCATTTTCAATACCAAAATATACAACTTTGTTTTGTCAATTTTAATTTCAACACACAAAAATTAATTGTCAAAAAAATTAAAAAAATATTTTTTTAGTTTGTGAAAAATAAAAATATTTCGGATTGTTAAATGCGATAAAATTGTGTAAAAAATTAAAAAATAGTTATGTGTTTGTGAAAAAACGTCGTTCAAGTCCTATTATCCCGGTATTTTCGCGAAAAAGTTTTGAAGTATTGTGAGAGAATTGAGTTCTCACAAGTGTGTTGAATTTACACAGAACTCGTCTGTGAAGAGAAGGAAATGTTATTGTTGTAAAACAATGTCATAGTCCAACTTCTTATTATTCTTTGTTTCATTATTTAAAACGATATTATTATAATATCGTTTTATATTATTTTGTTTCCAATAAAAAAATTAAGAAAATACAAACCAAAGAATAATAAGAAGTTGGACTATGACGATTTTATACAAGTATGTATGTTTGGAAAGTGTGGTGAAAGTGGTTGGAGCTCCAATACTAATACAAAAATTCTACCAATACATACTTAGAGTTAGGTACCGAATGACAACTCCTTTACGTACCAACTGACAAGCCCCAATTTCTTTATATTCTTTGTATGATATCATAATCGCCCTTTAAAAGCAATACCGTTTTCGCTATCATATCGTTCTTTGGTTTATTGGGAACATACAAATTATAAAATTGTTAACAACAAACTTTTTAAAAAAGTAGATTTTTAATTCATAAATTTGTCTCAATTTCATTACAGCCCGGTCTAGATGATGTTGTCAAAAAATGCCGCAATGTTAATTTATTTTTTTCGACTGATATTGAGACTGCCATTAAAGAAGCCGATTTGATTTTCATCTCTGTTAACACACCCACAAAGACCTTTGGCAATGGAAAAGGTAAGCACTACAATAAAACTTTAAGTAAAGAAACAAAATTAATGTGAAAATCTTGTCTAGGTCGTGCTGCTGATTTGAAATATGTTGAAAGTGCTGCCCGTATGATTGCCGAAATTGCACAATCCAATAAAATTGTAGTTGAGAAGAGTACTGTACCCGTTAGAGCTGCCGAAAGTATTATGCATATTTTGCATGCCAATCAAAAACCTGGCATACGTTACGACATTCTCTCAAATCCCGAATTCTTAGCCGAGGGTACTGCCATTGAAGATCTTTTGCATGCAGATCGTGTGCTTATTGGTGGTGAGGAAACACCCGATGGCCATAAGGCGGTGGAAAAGTTATCTTGGATTTATGAACACTGGATTCCCAAGGCTAACATCTTAACCACAAATACCTGGAGTTCGGAGTTGTCAAAATTAGCCGCTAATGCTTTCTTAGCACAAAGAATTTCTAGTATTAATTCTCTTTCCGCGGTATGCGAAGCCACAGGAGCTGATGTTTCTGAGGTGGCTAGAGCCATTGGTTTAGACTCACGTATTGGTCCGAAATTCCTACAAGCTTCGGTTGGTTTTGGTGGCAGTTGTTTCCAAAAAGACATACTTAATTTGGTTTATATATGCGAGGGACTTAATTTGCCCGAAGTTGCTGCTTATTGGCAACAGGTTATCGATATGAATGAATATCAAAAGAATCGTTTTTCACAAAAAATCATTGAAAGTCTATTCAATACGGTTTCCAACAAACACATCTCTATATTGGGTTTTGCTTTTAAGAAAAACACTGGCGATACCCGCGAAACACCAGCTATAGCTGTGTGCAAAACATTGTTGGAGGAAGGCGCTAAATTGGATATTTACGATCCTAAAGTAGAACCTGAACAAATCATCGATGATTTGACACATCCATGTGTTACAGAATCTCCCGAGAGTGTTAAGCAAGCTGTACAAATACACAGTGATCCCTATAGCGCAGTTAGAGGAACTCATGCCATTGTTTTGTGCACAGAATGGGATGAATTTGTGGTAAGTGGATCAAAGAATAGATTAAAAAAATGTATTCATTTACTTATTTCATCATCCAATTCCTTGCAGACTCTTGACTATCAACGCATTTATCAATCTATGATGAAACCAGCATACATTTTCGATGGCCGCAAAATTTTAGATCACGAACGTTTACAACAAATCGGTTTCCATGTTCAAACAATTGGCAAAAAGTATTTACGCACTGGTCTTATGCGTTCCTGGGGTAGTGTGCCTCAATTGTAGGGCAAGAAAATGGTAAAACTTAATGCAAGTTTTACCAAACGAAACAATTGTCTACACACTGCAAGAAGGTGAACTTGAAAATGTATTGAATTCCTCCAAATTATGTATTCTACTACTTTCTTCTTCCTTTTATCCTATTTATATAAAAAACACTTTATTCTAATTAATTAAAGAGAACTAACTTATGTCTTTACTTATGACCTTGCACAGTATTTAAAGAAATAACAAAAACAAAAAAAAATCTTATTATTAATGTAAATAGGAATCGAAGTATGTTTACGATTTTCACGATTATTGAAGTTTCATTTATTAAATGGAAAATAATTTTGAAATCATTTCCAACTAAGCGGCAATATATTTTTAAATTTAACCATAAATGGTAAAATATTTAAAATATTTTACCATTTTTTTTAATTTAGACTTGATATTTGATTAACAATGTAAGTTATGTTAAAACAAATGCAAATTTTGTCTATCAATTAAATATAAAACACACACACACTTTATAATGTATTAGAAATAAAGAAAACATTTATTTGTATTTAAAATTTTCTTAGAAATCTTCTTTTTCGCATATCTACATATAATTATTATGTAAAGAATAATTTAAAAAACAATAATAAAATAAAGATACAATATAGTTTAACTAAGTAAGGAAATGCTGTTTATTTTCTAAAATGGTTTTCTTTTCAATATGGTGCGATACCACAGAAAGGCGGTGGCCAAAGACAAACTGTACCAAGTGATTAAGTAGGATAAATGATCATTGCGCAGAGTGATGCGAGTTTGGCCGCCAATGGGACCGCCAGGCACTGAAGATGCGTAGCTGGCATCTAGAAAAACTGGTTGGGCACCAGTTAAGGCAGACATTTTATCTAAATCTCTATTAGAAAAATAAAACTTTAGCATCTCTTCATACAAAAATTCACTTTCAATACCCACCTATACAAAAATACACCTCCTTTATGTTCTGGTGTAAATTGTGGCCTCTGTTCTCCTTTGCGCACCACGCAAGTCATTTCCAACTCATCCGTAATCTGTCCTGCTAAACGTGTTTCTGGTTTTTGATGTTTACGCGAAATCCAACCACGATTGATTAATATTACATCACTTTAAAAAATAATAAGCAATTAAATTAATGTTCTACCAATAGTGCAGTATAAACATACTCTCTTCCTGTTAACTTAAATGGTGTAATAACCCAATAACCATTACCGGTATCACGTTGTGAAAACAACCCTCCTGCAGTTTCTCCTCCATCAGGTCTTATAAAACTCCTAGGCCCCATTAACAGTTCTTTGTCGTGCAAAAATGTACCTTTTACTTTAACAGCACGATATTCCATATCTTTTAAAGTTGATAAACTAGAAGTGAAAATTTATGATTCATGAATAGATCAGTTATATAAGATTAATACTTACTCTTCTGGCAAATCAACTGGCTCTATTTTGGTTAAAGTTTCCATATCCTTTATCAATTGTTCCTTCCAGAGTTTGCGTTTTACTTGCCAGCAACCTAAACCAAATGTTGTTACTGGAATCAGCTGAAAAAAATAGTTTTATTTTTGGAGCAACGTTTTAATTGATTCAAGCATTTGGTAAATATTGAAGATTAAAATAAAACATATCCTTCTTTACATACATATCTAATATATTTAAAGTACATGCCACAATAATTTGAAAAAAAATTAAAGGTCTGGATCAACTACTTGTATCCTAATCTTGAACAGAATAGTTTTCAAAGCACCTAAAGTTTAGAATTTTGACTTTTAACTTAATTTAATCATACTCACCATTAGAAACCATCCTAGCGGTGTTATTTTCTCTTCATTTTTCATTGATGGAGCTCCAGGACCGGCTAAAGAAGTACTTGCGTTACGTTGAGGCAAACATCTTTGAGATGGTTTTGAAACAATTTGCAAATAATTGATATTTTGTTTAACACTTATAGCAATTAAAGGTCTTGCCTGGTTTCTTAGCAAATGGCCACACAATTTTAACATATTTTATTAATTATTGACAAACTTTATTGCACAATAATAACAAAAGTAATAACTTTTTTTACTGCAATTCTTCGAATGAAGCGAAAAAACAACAAAAAATGGAAAACCAAACAGCTGTTCTAACCTCAAATTGTGCAAAAAACAAAATAAATATTTAGCATTGCCAGATTGAATTTATTTCTTTACGAATTTCAATAACAACCCTGTTTTAAACAAATCTGAATAGGAACCGTTATTTTAACGAACAACTAACAACGATAGCATTGGTTTTTATTAATGTTTAATTAAAATAAAAATATCCTTGACTTATTTTAAATTCATAACACTTACAGAAGGAAATAAATTTTATGGTTGTACTTATCGTCGCAAGTATTTGTTGTTCCAATTGTAATTGCCACAACTGTACTGTATTTTTACCCATCTCTGTCAAACAGCTGTAAATTTGACAGTTAAAACAAAAAATACAAAAACAAATTTCCCATTTTTGTAATTTTGTTGTTTTAAAACTAAAAACATTTGTAATTTCGTGGTGTTCCTAAGATTTCCAATTATTTTTACGAAATATTTAAATTAAAATGCATTTATTAATACTATACGGTAGTCAAACTGGTACTGCACAAGATGTAGCTGAACAATTATGGCGTTCCTCTAAGAAATATGGGTTTCAAGGCCCAGTCTTGCCTATGGATGAATTTCCCATACATAAACTAGTTGAGCAGACTTTGGTATTATTTGTGGTGGCTACCACAGGTGATGGTGATGAACCAGATAATATGCGCAATTCTTGGAAATTTTTACTTCGGCGTAGTTTACCCTCCAATTCATTGGAGAATATGCAATTTGCCTGTTTGGGACTGGGGGACTCTAGTTATGGCAAGTTTAATTACGCAGCCAAAAAACTAAATAAACGGCTACAACAACTAGGAGCGAAACAGATTATACCTCTAGGTTTGTGTGATGATCAACATGATCACGGTTTAAGTGCAGTAGCTTTACCATGGATGGATCAGCTTTGGCGGCAATTGCAACAGAATATTGATATTAACGCAAAAACCATGAATGGACTAGAAAATGCAGCATCAGTTTTTAGATGGCAATGTAAAAAATTAAACGAAAGAAAGGAGGGGCTTATCAATAATGAGGATAATGAGCAAATTCTTTGGCCATATAAAGATGTGCCTGAAAAGTTCACTCTCAAAAGCAATAAACGCACCACAGATCCCTCACATTTTCAAGATGTTAGATTGTTGGAATTTGTCACTTCTGATAGTATAAATTGGTCACCAGGAGATATTATACAAGTGCAACCTCATAATTCTCCAAAACAAGTTGAAGATTTCTTTTTATGGGCACAAGAACACAAACTTGATTTCACAGCCGATACTTTGGTGGAGATCTCCAGTATTCATGACGATATGCCTTTGCCAAAATGCTATAGTAAACCATTGACAGTCGAACAGATGGTTACATATTTATGGGATTTGAGCTTTCGTCCTCGTCAGCGGGCTTTTGAACTTTTGGCTTTAAACTGTGAAGATGAATTGGAAAAAGAGAAACTTTTGGAGTTTACCACAGCAGAAGGTCTGGATGATCTTATAAATTACATAAATCGTCCTCGCAGAACTATATTGGAAGTGTTACAAGACTTTCGACATGCTTCCTCCAAATTGTCTCTAAATGTTTTAATAGAATTGTTTACATTCATTCAACCCAGAAGTTTCTCTATAGCCAGTTGCAAAGAATCAGGTCAGTTAGATTTGCTGGTTGCTGTGGTAGAATACAAAACTAAACTATCCACTCCCAGACAGGGTTTGTGTTCAAATTGGCTTAAAAATCTTAAACCAGACACACAAATATATGGTTGTATAAAATCGGGCACAATGAAACTTCCCAAAGATATTTCCACGCCTCTCATCGTAGTGGGACCTGGTACTGGTATAGCACCATTTCGCAGCATAATACAAAGTTTATACATTAACAAATCAGATAGTTTACCACCCGCTCTATTTGTATTTTTTGGTTGCCGCAATAGTAATAAGGATTTTCATTTTCAAGAAGACTTGCAAAAATGGCAGTCAGAAAAATGCATTTCCCTTTATTGTGCCTTTTCCAGAGATCAGGATAATAAGATCTATGTCCAGCATTTGATTGAAGAAAATGCTGATAAACTGAAACCACTAATAATGCAAAAGGGTGCATTTATTTTTGTGTCTGGTTCTTCAAAAAATATGCCAAAATCTGTAAAGGAAGCTTTTACGAAAGTTGTGGACAATAATGATGCCTTAATAGAACAATTAATAAAAACAAAAAGATATCAAGAAGAAACTTGGTCTTAAATAGTACAATTTTAATTATAAATATATAAATATAAATTTATATAAATAATAAATAGATTTAAGCTAAAAAATTAATAATCTTCAAATAGTTTTTCCGCGGCTGTGCGACAAAACGGACAAAAGCCCTTTTGTAAAACTTGCAACTCGAAATCTTCGGCATAAAAGACCTGATAAAAAATACAGTATAATTTTTATTTAAGAAATATTTACGTAAAAAAATACTTACCAGTAAACATTCAGGACAATATGTAACTTGTAAGTCCGGCAAAATGTTGCGATAAAATATAAATTTACTATTTGCTTTAGAACGGCGTTTTAAAATTAACACATGATTTGGATCTATAGAACGTAAGGCACTACGATCTAAACTCAATGGTAAGGCACTTGCCGTATCCTAATTGCAATAAAAAAATAATTAATTAAATTATTTAACTGTAATTGTTTAACCTGCCTACCTCATTAAACGGATCTTGATCTTCATTGGTTTTTGGTGGAGCTAAGAGTAAACGTTCCGCTTCATTATCAGTAATATCCATTTCCGGGTAAAATTCTACTAATGGTAATATTTCTAAAATAACATTTAAAAATACTTTAAATCAAATAAAATTTTTAATTTCAAGTTTTTACTCATTACCGAATGATATAAATGAAAATATATAATCCTGGCGACAAGTAGGACAGGAATTTCCATTTAAATGCTGGCTATAGTTCGAACACTTATAGCATAGAGGCAATAGCTCTTCAGGATCATTAAAGCCACTTTTACATGCCTTACTGTTTAAATAATTTATCTGAAATGAATACCAATACAAAATTAAAACCACAATCAACCTATGTTCTCAATATAAATGTACATACATCAATTTGTTCCTGAACTCCAGAGGGAGGCTTAAGGGATTGTAAACGCTTATTGACCACCAAACACAATTTATTGGCTTGCAGAAATTTAGCCTGCTTAGCCAAAGTAAACAGAACAGCACTGAAATTCATTTATATAATTAAAACTTATTTTCAAAGAATATTAAACAAAAGACTTACAACATGCTTACCCCTTTTGGGGCACCTTTATATTCAACTTCATTTAGAATAAATCTTGAAACATTGAAAAGACTAACTGGGGAATATGTTGTAAAGGGTTCCTTCATATAGTTGTATATTACACTGTAAGCGTAATAGATTTTCGCTATTCGCAAATGAGAATGATATTCCTTCAAATGAAAATCAATGGGATTTTGTACTCTAAGAAGATAAAACATTATTTTTTTTTTTCTTTTTTAAACATTTTATAACCTACTCTTTGTCATAATAAATATCCAAGTATTGTTTAGAAAGCAGCCAATAAAAATAACTAGCATCTAAGAAACGTTCCTCTTCTATAGCCGAATTGCTTAATTGTTTTAACAAACGATTAGCGTCTTTTATTCGTCCAGCCTTTAAGTAAGCTAAGAAATTAAATAATTATTAATCGTTAAAGATAAATTTATAACAAAAATGTCTACCTTCATGAGCTTCTATAAATTGATCATTTTCCGCCAGCCATTGTGCATGTTGATAGTGTACTTGAGGTAGAATATCTGGCATATCGGCAGACAAACGAAATGCTTCTGCCCAATCATGAGCTTCTACATGTAATTGCACTACTTCGGCCTCATTACCTAGTTTTTTAAATACTTCAGCAGCTAGGGGTAAAGCTTTTAATCGTTTTAAATTAAAGGCCACCAATTCCAAAGACTCTTTTTCGCTTTGACTTAAACGTCTGCCAATATCATAGAGTCTAAAAGGCAAAAATAAAAATATGTTCCTTAAAAAATATATTTCTTATACTTACACATCGGCCCATCCTTGTTCGGATACAATTTCGATGGCCTTTTGATGTTCGCCTACACTTAACAATAGTTCTGCTGCAGCTCTGGGCTCTTTTACGGAATAAGCCCATTCGGCTCTTTTACGTACTAGATTTTTCTTTTCTTCTGCACTGCCATCTCTGATGAACTCTTGCGCCAAATCAAACATTCTCAAATCTGTGTACATTTCCAAAGCCTTTATACTGAGGGAACATTTTTCGAAAAATCTTGCAGCTTCCTTGTGTTTACCGGAATAGGCACACATTTCAGCTTGTAAAACCTCTTTGGGCACTTGGCCTCGTTTTTGTTTCTCCATTAAATCTCCAATAAGTTGAAGCCAAGGCAAATTTCGTATCTTAACATAAGCATCGCGAGCAATATTAAGATGTAAGGCTTCCAAAGCCGATTTAGCTAAACCCTCCCAATCGGCATTAGTTACTCCCAAGCAGGCCACCTGAAACGCTTCCCTAGATGATGTGAATACATTAGTTATTTTCATTTGAGAGAATATACCTTGCAACACTTACTCAAATAAGCCAGCTTCTATAAATTGCCACATTGTTGCTCCCAGAGCCAATGGAACATTGTGCATAACATTTCCCCTTAAGCAAAATGCTGTAGCTCCGCATAAGCCCACCACAACACCAATCATTTGTTGCGGAGCTCTAGGTGGCAAATTGCCTACTCTAACCGAAAGCCCACCGGTAGTGTGGGTGTAACACAACATTGAATCCAAATGAGTATTCCATGTTACTGAATTTACTCCTGTGTCCTGGTACAGGAGAGTATCGTTGTAAATGTCTCTGACCACTAAACGACCACCATCATCAACCACTGCAATTTTAGTGCGATTTGCGTTAACATCTAAACAACGAACCGCAGATACAGCCGAAGTTATCAACAAAGGTAGGGCATTATCAAGAAAGATGCGATAAACCTAAAGTATTGAAATTGAATCCAGTATAAGTCCGCTATAATTTCAATATAGTAAAATCTTACCTTGCCATTTTTTAATCCCACCATTAAACCCTCTCGACCAGCTGGTCCCCCTATAACTTTTATGTATCGTATAAATGAATCCATTAACCATTCCCTCTGCAAGACACCATTGAAATCCAGACACTGCAATCTTTGATCTTGACAAAGTACAATGTGACAGGCACATACTACCAACAAACTGCAATCGAATTTCTTTTGTATCTTTTCCTTTACCTTGTAATGCATTGGTTGGTCCTCAATTGAATTCAATTCATATAAAACTACTCGCTCTGGCAACTGAACTGCCAACTTTTGTCGATATATAGCAATCTTTTGTACTAGATCACGACATTTGATGCGTACTTTCTGACCCGATATCAAGTGTTGTATGATAACATCACACATATGTTCCCGGAATGCATAACGTTCACGGTACAAGGCATGTACTGTGGTCAGGGCAATGGTGTAGGTGGATAAGGTTCCATTTTGGCAACCAATAGTATAGGATTGCCCGCTGGGATGTACGGCCACCGACCAAATCCACGAAGTATCAACAGTATCACCTAAAATACCCAAACGAACGCCTTCGCGTGTAAAACAATGAACATTACCAGTACAGCCAGATACCAAACAATATTCGCCATTTGGTAGGTAGGACAAACATAAAGGATCGAAACCTAAAGATCTCTCCTTGCCAATCATTTGACCGCTTAGGGTATGGAATGATAAATTTTGACCCCAATCAGTTACAGCTATAGTGTCGATATTGGGCTCTGCTGTTACGGGACAGCATTGTACGCCATAAACAGCACTAGATGCACCGCCAGGGCGATCAATTCGACCTTTTTCTTCTCCACTTTTATTGCGTATACTAATCGAACCATTTGCCAAACCCAATATAAGATATTGGCCATCGTTAGTCCAACAACAAGCATTGACACGGGAATGTATTTTGTACTTTTGAACAGCTTTTTGATCCGATGACCAAAAGGCGAAATCGGATGTAGAACATGAGGCCAAATGATGTGAAATGGGGTTAAAACTCATGCACTGCACAGAGTCTCCATGACTGTTAAAATAAATATATTGTAGCATTTAATATTTACCATTTTTCACCATTAAAACTTACGAGTATTTTAATAAACCCTCCAGTTGTGGTGACCAAACAATTACTGTTTTATCTGCGGCTCCACTAGCAAATTTTTTACCATCTCTAGCATAAGCCACACAATTAACGACATCTTTGTGGGCTTTCAACGTATTCAATAGAGTACCATCTTTTGGATCATACACTAAAACTCGCTCACGAGCAGCCACAATTAACTGCGTCCCATCAGGATTGTAGCATGCACAATGGATACTGAAAATACAGTTATGACGCATTAATGCATATTGTTTAAGTCGTATTTTGAAAGTAGGTCAAAGTGTCTGGCTAATCCTAAGTGTTTTCTTTCTTATTTACCTGATATCTTCATCTTTCGTATTGGGAAATTCAACTTTATCAATCCATTTTAATATAGCTCTCATTTTCTGGGCGTTGAATTATCAAATAAATAATTGAAGTTTTCAATATTTTATTTTTCCATCTTTTTTTCTCCAGAAAATAGAGCAAATCTATCACAAAATACAATTATATCCGGTTTTCCGATGTCCAGTTTTCTATTGTCCAGTTTTGTGTTTGTTTACATTTTGCCATTGTTGTTGTTAATGGTTACAGAGACCTGCGGTGACAAACATTAACGGTAACGGCGTGTGACACAAAGTTTTTCGGCGGCGCTTAATGTAGGTTCTAAGCTAGCTACAAATTATAATAAATTGTATTATTTTTAATACAACATACAAAAAATAATAAAATTCGAATTCAAATTAAATTTCTTAAAAATCACTGCGAAATAGCCAATTCATGAGTTAAATTCCGATTAATTAATTTAAAAACAAATTTATTCGTCGTGTTATCAGATTAATTATAATACAGTTGGAATAATATAAAGTGTCTTTGAATTATAAAACGAAATCCTTTATTCTATTTGAAATTGTCGAAAAAGAAATAAATATATTTTAAATAGGAACCTATGTAGAATTATTTTAATACAATGTGGTACATCAAATTAATGTCAAATCCGTTTATAGCTACTGCTAGGGACCATTAAAATATTTCAAACAAAACTAAATATTTTCTTAGGATTTCAACATAATTTTTTTTTAAGTTCATTATAAAAAAAGGGAAATTGTACTTGAGGGACTGAAAAAATAGTTCATTTCTTCTAAGGATTCGTTATAACCGAGTTCGACTGTATTTTTTTATTCTCCAATAACTAATTAGATGTAATTAATTTTTAATAAATTCAAAATAAAATTTTTACAAATAGAACTAAATGAGAACATAAAATATGACTTTGTAGTTGGTCGACTGCGGTTACAATTGTAATCATTGTAAACATATTATTAATAAACAGTGTTGATAACTTTTTATACGAATTCAGGGAGTGTGTTTTTCAATTCAAGCTATTAGTAAAATATGTAAGCTATTTAGCCATCAGCAAAGCAAATTTTAAATGCTTTTTTGAATTACATTTAAACGGCAAAATGTTGAAATACCTTGGCAAAAATTTTTACAAAACATTAGTACAAAATTTAAAGCGTAATATCACGTTCATCTAAAAATCGGACCTGTTCGTAAATACATCACTGCGCTGCATCTACGTTCATTTCTATGATGCGCAAAAAAGGTGTTAGATGAGAATATTTTAGGTAAATTTATGAAATTTACACGTTTTTAAATAAGAATCTTTTGTCTACGCATCAAGAGATTTGCATCAGTATCGTAGACTAATCATCGGATGTAGTGCAGTGATGCATTTCCGAACAGGCCCACCATAAACATTTTAATAAAAAGATCTAAAGCTGTACCATTAAACTTTAGGTCCGGTTCAATGGACTTATCTACTTATTTCCCCTTTACCGTAAAATTTGTGCTTTTAAAAGCGCAAGTTTCATAGGAAAACTCTGAATTGTCATTACTTCTAAACGGAAAGACACGCGTTTGTGGCAAAAATAATCAAAAGTTTTCATAAATGGATGCAGGTTTGGCTAAAAACTTATGCAAACTTTAGCGCAAATGCCAGTTTCTGAAGGTATTATTGATTATATACAAAATTGTTATAAAATTAATAAAAACAATAAGAAGGTAAATGCCGGGTTCTATGGAGAAAATGCCGCAAAAATACATCACGTTAATTTTTTTTGTTCAAAACAAACATAACGAAGCTGCAGCATATTCATTATGGCAGCCATTTTGACTTGACGAAAGTTGTTATTACTTATATAGTTGTCACTCTCCTATACAAAGCATTTGCCAGGGCCATGTGAAGGAGGAAAAGAGAACGGCAGTGGTGTTTTCGTTGAAATTACGTTAAAAACGGTTGGATTTTTTAGTGTGTGAAAAATTTTAACAGAGTAGTACAGTGTTGCTTGTGAATTGCAAAATTTAATAACTGACTAAAATATATTTAGAGCTGCATTTTTTGAGGAATTTTTTAGATAATCAAACTAAAACAAGATTTTTCGTGGTGCAAAGGACAACGAAAAAGTGTGTTTAATGTAAATTGTAAGGCAACAAAATTTGTTAAAATAATTAAAATGTTTGCCTTGAATTTAATAAAAGAAAAAACAATAAACCACCACCATATTTATGTCGTGGGTTTTATTTTCCCAACAATCATTTTTTCTTTTTTTTTGGTTCATCGTTGTCTACTCTTCATATTGTGGTGCTGCCGCTGCTGTTGTTGCTAGTGTTTTTGTTGTTGTTTTTAGTTTTTGTCTTCGTTAAGTTTGGTCTAGCATTCGTACAGTAGCGGTTCTACTGACTAGTATTGAACATTTTTCCATTGTGGTAACGCCGTCGAGTTTTTATTGTTGTTATTATCGTGTCCATTGATGTCAAAAATAGAAGAGAAAAAAAGAAAAAAAGTAGAATTTTTAAATAAGAATAAATTTAATAAAAATAATTAAATACAAGTGCTTGTTTTTGCCAGAATTTCATTAAAATGCTTGAAATGTTCGAATTGTTGTGAATACGAGGTAATATAAGTGAATAAATATTCCTTTAAAAATACATTGTTTACATACATGTGCAAAGTGTTGGAAATTATTTATTTTTTTTTTTGGCGCGTCAATTTACAACTTAAACTTTTGTGAGTTCACGGTTTAATTGGTAGCTGAATTATTAATTGGAAAAAATAAAAAGTTAAGCAATTTGTGGAACAAAAATTGCGTTTAAGTAAACAAGTTAAAGAACGCCTCTTTTAAAGTAAATAATATGTATAGTTTCCCAAATGGAAAGAATGTGTTTTGTGTGAGTGACTACGAGCTAAAAGTGTTTTAAATAATATATATGTATAGAAAAAATGGTTGATTATTAAACCTAAATAACCTTTGGATATAAACATGAAAATTGATGAAAAAATATGATTTAATAATTTCAAGAATGTGCATTTTGAGAAATTTGTAGTGTTTGTGTAATCAATGAAAAAATGTAGCATTCGTAAAAGTTAATAGTGTATATTTTTTTAATTCTGGTTAATATGTATAACAATTTGGTTTAATTTAAAAACGTTTAAGGCATTAATTTCTATTATTTTTAACCCTCCCGCCTTATAGCCCTCCTATTGTATTGTTTTTTTAATAACTTTGTTTCACATCGGTTCTTTCGTTCCTCAATCGTATTTGCAGAATTTTTATTCCCCCATTTTTAGTTTCGTTAAGTTTTTTTTTCATACGTTCGGTTTTTTTTATTTGTTACGAAGCAGCATGTGTCACAGCTAAATTTAACGAAAATTTAACGATAAAATAACACCCGTCTACAAAAGAAAAACGAAAACACAGACAAGCACCAATACAATGAAAATATTTCAATTTTGACAAGCTGTTTAAACAAGGGTTGCCATTATTATAATAAATAATAAAAAATGAAGTATTTTATGAAAAGGATGAAAATGGTATAAATAATTTGTTTATATCTTTTAAATTTATTAATAAGAAACACAACTTTATGTTCTGATCTTTGTAAACAAATTTATTAATTTAGTAAAATTCAAAACAAGGCATTAGTTCACAATATGTAAATATGTATCTTTTTCAAACTAAAGGATGTAATGTCACTTCCTATTTCGCAATATTGCTTTAATATTTGCTCACAATTTATATTAAATATCCTGTTAATGAAAAAGTGATTGCCTTGCAAAATATCAGAGTTTAAAAAGAATGAATTCTTTTTAAAACGAATTAAATTAAATTTTAATTCGGTTTAAAAAATCTATGTATCCATATGTAAAATCGTTTAAAATGATTACAAATGCAAACAATTTAATATATCTCGTTGATGGAAGTCGTTACAACATTTATTTTAAAATCGACTCATTAGATTTTCAGATGTCAACAGATTTTATAAAAAAAGGTGCAATCGCGCTGTTATAAAGCCTCAAAAGTTGTGTTTTTCAAATTTAATGCCACGAAACTTGATGTAATGGAGATAAATCCAGATTCGGATTCAGCGCAGCTAAATCAGAATTTAGCAATCCATAGAGTACATGAAGTGTACTAGACATTCAATAGGAAATAATTCAATAGGAAATTAATTTAAATGCCGAAAACTTTAAATAATGGATTATTTTTGGAAAGGTGTTTAAAGAATTGATAAATATTTATATAAGCTAATTCGTTTTCAAATATTGGCCGGTAATTCCTTTGATGCTTTGCCTACGGTTATTGTTTATCATTAATATATACCTAAATGAGTTAGAACAATTGATATATAAGCGAATTAATTCTTTTGAAGCTTCAATAAATTTATTATTGCATTTTTTTTATATTTTCAGTTTAATGTAAGACGACACATTCGGCTATAAACATTTAACGCGTCAGACAGAGAAAAAGAGAGGGAAGAAAAAATAAATTAGAATACTGACTACAATTAAGCTGCTGCCTCCAAGACTCAACATCAAAATTGTTCCCAATAATAATAAAAAATGAATAATCAAATGAATAGTGCAGTGCGTAAAATACATAATCTGCTCTCTAGTGGAGCAGTAACGGTTACCGGACCTAATCAGCCGCGTATACTTAAACAAAAAATTGTTGGTTCCGGTGCAACCGCAACAACAGTTACAACAGCTTCGCTTGCGAATAATGTACAACAACAGCAGCAGCAACAACAGCAAGTTGTTACGACAACCATAAATCGTTGCTATGTCTGCGACGATGCATTGGGTGCCAATCAGGCTCAACATCAACTAACAGAAATGCAGACAACGCACACAACAACAAAATTTCCCAATAAAATTGGTCAATTGGTCGGAGATGCCTTTATGGTAATCGTTAGTGTCGAGGATGTTGTTTGTTCACGTTGTACAAATCTCATCAACTATTTGGATCGTTTGGAAAATGATGTCGAACGTGTTCGTACAAATCTAATGAATTTGTTGCATAAAAAATATGGTTTAAATGATGATAGCGGTGGAATTGTAAATGCTGCTACAACTGTTGTCGCTAGTGGTGTTGGTACTCCATCAATTGCTGCTGCAGCTACCAATGTTACAAATAATGTTTCTTCATCGGCCACACTACAAGCACCGCCTAATAAATTACAAAAATTAAATAGTGGAGCAGCGGGTAAGTGTTAATATTTTTTGATAAATTCCAGTCACTTTTATTTATGTGACCATTTTGGAATCCTTGTTGAAAAAATTTTCAACTTAATTAATAATTAGAGCCACTTTTATATCCCAATATTGTTTTTCACGAGATTCTAAAGTGTTGCTCATTTTTTTAATAACTTTTCTAACTTTTATTTTACAAATATATTTTTATAACTCTTATCGCAATTTGTTACTTTTCTCATACATTTACAGTTAGCGCTGTACAACAAATGAAAATATCTACACAATCTCCAACAAATATACAACAACAATCGGCCGGCACACAAACGCTACAGCGTAAAACAACAAAAATCTACAAGTGTTTATCGTGCGACTATAAGACCTCAGATATGCGTCTCTTCAATACGCACTACGAAACATGCAAACATCAAAATTTCCAATGTAAAAACTGTAAGAAAATATTCCCCAACTTTGGAGCGATGAAACAACACATGGTACGTGAACATAATACACCCATGGACAATACATGTGCTGTCTGTCACATAAATTTCGTAAGCGAATCGGCTTTGCGTAAACACATGGAAATCAATCATAGTACGAATGTGGTCGTAACAAGTACAACAACTCTACCCGTGTCGCAAAATGCGGCACCAGCTGCAGATCCTATAACAGCGGTGAATGCACAAGCTTCCCCGGGCACTACGACCACACCACTCTACACATGTAATCACTGTCAGTTCAAGTCCACAGACAAGATAACATTTGATGAGCACATGCGCAAACATATGTCTGGAGTTAAATCGAAACCATTTAAATGTCGTCTGTGTGCTCAGCGCTTTGAGACTCGTGAGGCGGCCACAACACATGCTAAACAACATCAGGGAAATGTATTCAAGTGTGGTACTTGTTCCATGTCTTTCCCCAAGAGAGAAATGTTGGTTAAGCATTTCGAGGAACATCAACAGCAGCAACAGAATACGCAACAACTTCAACAGCAGCAGGTTCAGCCACAACAGCAAATGATTACGATTAAACAACAGCAGGCGCCGCAAGCTTCACAGAATATGCTGACCACTCAAAAGCTTTTGCAAGATACTATCGATGAAGCTTTAAGTGATTCAACCACACCAGTAACCACAACCCCCACGACAGACGTAACAGGAGCGGCTTCTGCCAATAATATTCGTTTCTTCTCTTGTCACATTTGTTCGTTGACATTCATACAGGAGAACTACTACAATCAACACATGGAAACCCATAGAAGGGGAGACGGTACTACCAACACCGCTACAACTACGGCTAACACACATAAAAAGACTTCCAATACGGTCGTAGGAAACAATTCATTGTCCACTTTGAATGCAGCCGCTTTGCTAAGTGAAGCAGCTCAACAGGAAACCAATGATATGGTCCATCACAATGCTGACCTAAATGTTCATCATCAGCAACAGCTTCAACAACAGCAGCAGCAAACTGCCACTATGGGTAATGCCGGCAATAACACCATTTCTGAGGCAGACATAGAAAGCATTTTTGAAAAAATGCATTCCGATAAGGGAGACGCTGGTGTTACGGCCACAACAACATCGTCTGGTAATGGTGGCGGTAGCAATGATCAAGTTGTTATTACATCACAAGCTGGTTCCGGTGGTGGCATAACCTTTAATATTACCATACCCGGGCAAGAAGGAGCTGGCGTAGTATCGACTAGCGAAGATCACACCACTAATACGACCACCACAACCACTGCACCCGTGTCGGTAAGCATAGATATGCCCATGCTTGACCAACCAGACGATTCAACACATGCTTCGACAACGACCACAACAACCACCACAACAGCATCGACAAACCTGAAGTCAGAATCACCAAAACCAACTACAACTGGACCGGTCAGCATGCCCAGCCTAGACGATGATAACGAAGACCAACAACCTGCTAATCCAACAAGCGCATCTAATGAGAATTCCAAGAATATGGAAGAACCTGCCCAACATAATTCTGAAGAAACTGCAGCATCTGCCTCAAAACAACCTGCCACAGATGAGGGAGCCTCTAAAGCGGAAGAATCTTCAGCAAACAATCATTCATCTGAACAACCAGTTGAGGATCAGACAGCTCTCGAAAATACTGCCACGACAGACAACCAACAAACAGAATCCGTAGCGGGCGATGAAGCACATCAACAACAACAGCAGCAGCAACAAGAAGGGACAGAAGCTGGACAAGAACAACAACAACAAACCCATGAACATCATGAATTAGCGGCCGGTTCTGAGGCTGGTGTTGCTGAGGGTGAACAACAACAGCATGTTGCTATGGAATTGGACGAGGCTGCCATGCAGGCTCAAGTTGATGGGGGACAAATTAAATTTATTCTCAACGAAAGTGGACAACTTTTGCAACTTGATAATCACATTCTTACCGATGCTGATGGTAATCAAATTCTCGTACAAGATCCCGAGCACATACAACAATTGCTCCAGTCGGTGGGTGTTCTTCAGTCTGGTGAGGGTCTCGATGGTGAAACTCTTCAAATGATGACCGATGCTAATGGACAAATGGTCTTGGTGCAGGGTGAAAACAATGAAACCCAACTGATTGATGCCTCCCTTCTTAATGCCGAAGGCCAACTGGTCATACAGCAGTCACAGGATGGTGATGGTGGTGCCCATGTCATTGGCGAAGATGGTACACGAATTCCAGTATCCGTTTCCTACACCGAAGATGGTCAACCTATTGTTCAGGTCCAACAACAAGTACTAGAAGCAGCCACTGGCGGCGGCGAGGCTGGTGTTATGGAGAAAGACGCCTCTGGCGTAGAAGGTAATGATGGTGTTATACAAAGTGATGATCATCCTGCTCATTCTACTGCCACTACAACAATAAGTAGTGGTAGTACAACGAGTGGTGATTTCTTTGCTCTTAAAGAACTTATGCAACAACAATCTTCCTCCTCCTCCTCCACAGGAACAACAACAGCGGGTGGCACGGACAAAATAGCTATTAGCTCGGATTAGGGGTGGCTGCTATAAAATGTGTATCATATTCATTAAAAAAATAATAATAATTGCATAGCGTATAGTTACAGCTGAAGGCCCTTGATTTTTCATTTTGGTGTGGTAGTTGGAGTGTAAAACAGGTATGTATAGTATTTTCTGGTATATTGTGTATAAGTTTAAAATTTAGTATAGGCTAGACTATAGTCAAGTCTATAGTATAGGCTAGACTATAGTCAAGTCTATAGTCTAGACTAGCCTATAGACTAATATCATAGACTACATTATACTAGTTTCTAATCTAGGCTATAGTCTAGACTATAGTTTATCGTCTAGCCGATAGTCAAGTCTATAGTCTCATCAGTAGTTAGATTAAAGACTAGTCTATTGTCTAGTCTATGCTCTAGACTATAGTCTAGCCTATAGTCTAGATTATACTAGTTTAAACTCTAAGCTATAGTCTAAACTGTAGTTTATAGTCTAGCCGATAGTCAAGTCTATAATCTCGTCAGACAAAGGGTAACAAAAACACGATTTTGCTTTCCACACAAACCGAGTCTGTCATTTAATGATAAATATTAATTCTTGTTATTTTACAGATTTCATATAAATTCAATGGAATTTGTTAAAGGATGCCCTCTCTGATTCTGAGATAAATATTCATTAAGTACGAATGTAAGGCTTTAATCCAGAAAAACAAATATTAAACGAGAGGATGTCATCATTACTTGAAATGACCTGCTACCACAACCAACGATTGTTTCTTTATAAAATTAGCGTTACAAAGATCACGCTTAATATAAACAAATATATTGATTAATTTAGTTTTTTTTTTCATAGTATTTAAGTTGTAAAATATGCTTAAAACTTTCTTATATAGTTTTATTAATATTATTTTTTATAATTTTTAATTCTAATGTCATTAATTTACATTAGTTTTTAGCAAAGCAAAAAGTCAGACGAAAAAACACTTTTTTATATATTTATAAAAAAACAAACAACAAATAACTCCCCCCCTTAAAAACAAACAACACATTCATCCACCCACTAAAACATATTTTCAATTAAGATAACATTTTCAACAAATTAAAAAGAAAAACAACTAAATGAAATCTTCTAAAAAATAATAATGAAACTCATTTAAAACAACAACAACAATACGTTTATACAAAATTGTTTGTAAAGCAGTAATACTATAGAGTTCATTAAATATTTTTATTAATTTAATATAATTAAAATCCCAATAAAATAAAAAACTTTATAAAAAAAAAGAAAATAATTTTGTCGTTAGTTATTAGGCTTAAAAATACTTTTAAAAAAGAAGTAAACAATAAAAAAGTATAAGAAGAATTAATTACATATGTTTAAGAAAATAAAAAAAAAAACATTTACAATAAAGCTAAAATAAATGTAATTTTAAATAATAATAAAAAAAACTAAATTGTCTTTAAATAAAAAAAGAAAGAAAAAAGGAAAAAAACATTGTTTATTATTCAAAAATATTTTTGAAATTTCGTAATTGTTAGTTAAAGAAATAATAATAATATTAAAACTCCATCTAAAATGATTACTATTAAACAAATAATTACAAATATATGTAATATGTGTATATTTGAATTAAATCTTAGACTTACAACAAAAACAAATAATAATTAAATATTTTATGTTTTAATAAAAGATACTAAAAAAAACACTTCAAAAATTTCCTTTAATAAAAAACACAATACTTTGTACGAATGTTAACATTTTATCCCTTTAAACTGTTAATCTTTCTCTCAACTCCTCCCCTGCCCCCTTACGCACATTTCTCCGTCTGCCCCCCACAACACACCCCCTTGTGAATATAAAATAATATATAATAGATTTCTTAAACAATTTTAAACTATTCATTAATAATACGAAACCATAAGAATGAATATCAATTTTCGCCATTTCCGTTTTAATTTGCAACATTTTTTTTTTAAAATTTTTTGCTTTTGTATTATTAACATAGATACATTATTTACATACAATACATATTTAGTTTTCTTAAAATTATTATGTTTTACTTTTAAGAAATAAAACGTGAAAAAATAACACATTTAAATTCTAGAGCTATATGGATATGTAAATATATATAGTTCTTTTGGTAAAATCAGACAGCAATGTAAGGATTTCAAAATATAAAATTATTATAATAATAAAAACCACATAAAAATAAATGTATAAATGAAATTTAAATTAAAATGGTTTTGATTTTTTTTAATAATATACTTACTTATAGAACTACATTCCAAACGCAGGTGGAATAATTAAAAAGTACAATTTAAAATTTTTTTCTTTGGACCATTTGCGTTTTAGGTGAAGATATGTATATATTATGGATCTTCATTAAATGTTGAGACTATTTAGCCGTGTCTGTCTATTTGTCCATTAAAAGAATGGGGAACACACGGGAGAGGCTAGAGTGCAGAACTTTTGCAAATAGGGACACGTTTTCACGTAGCCTCCATATTAGTGGGCCCGGAAGTGAATAAGTTAATTATGCATCGATCCGGATCAAATTTTCACATGTATCCAGAATTTATATTCCAATGTATGACGGATATAGGGCTATATTTGATGCTTTCCACGCATAAAACCTCTTCATGTAAGGATTTTAAAGCTCATAACTGTATAACTGGAAAATTTGATAAGGATCAGTACCTAATGGGCTCTGTCCCCACTCTGATGTTCTTCATAGTAATATTGCTACCAATCCATGGAAACCTTGTGTGCAGGTTTAAAATAATTTGATGATATTTGGACGTAAGGCTCTTTTAATCAAGGGCGAAGCCTATGGATAGCCAACTGGACCTACGAATAGGATTTTAAAACTCATAATTATTTTAAATATTCAAGAATCTCTGCAAAAATCTGCAATAAAATCCTCTTCGGCAAATTATTCGAACTCCCTAATTCACTTATAAACTATCCCAGCAAAAAAATTTTGCAGTAGTGCAAAGTGAATGCATGTTTCATGACTTCTTTAATAACAGTGCTAATACAACTCATTCTAAACGCCTTCCTAAATTCAACCTATTCCGCAGTTAAAAAATTCCTTTAAAACTTCAAAAATTAATTCAGATTGTTAATTTAATCAAAGGAAATTTATGTGTTATTAGAAATATTTTTGATTATTAATATTATTTTATATATTTTCCCATATTTATTATAATATTTTCCTTAAACATATTTAAAATATCTTCCAAAAATACATACAAAACAAATAGCTTGAACCAATGAAACATCGCTTTCGAATCATCGAATTTGCATTGGTTTTATTTTTTTTTATTTATTCGGAATTCTCGCATAAACACATGATCTCCAATGACACGCTAATGTTAAAATCATGCATGTTTCACCTAAATCGAACCACTTCGTCATCACTTGAACCTCTGATTAAACAACATCTTTGTCATGTAACTTTTTGCTGGGATGGTAACACTCACTATAGTCATATAATACAGTGGGACAAAATAAACTAAAAGAGAAATGCCTCAAGATGATACTATTTTTCTAATAGATATTATTACAAGTACAAGAATTTTTTTTTGAAATTTGCCAAACACCTCCAAAATCTCCAAAAAAACCCTTTCCCGTACCTTTATGCATTTAAAAGCTCAACGGATTTAGGAATCAGCTCAGTTTCTACTTTATAATGAAGTATTTGATTTATGTAAAAATACCCAGCAGTTCGGTCGGACATTCCCGAACTACCTATTTGACCTACCACTTACGGTTACCCCTAGCCACCGATCGCCCAGGTGACTAGCTATTTTAACATTTGCTTGTCCTACGAGGAAGTCAATCGTCATCCAATAGATTACGAAGAGGCAGACAAAATGCTTGTTTTTTAAGTGTCCACTCTCTCGCTTACATAGGGGACACTAAAGTGACGATTATCCTCACCCTCGTGAAGAAAGACGAATTGAAGCCAGGTGGTTAGACGTTAATGGAAATCTCTGTCTTTTTCGGGTGCATTGACTCTTTGCCGAACTGCTGGGTAGCCTGGAGAAATACATACATATACATATATACATACATATGTATATATGTAGGTGCATTTTGATTTTATTCTCCTGAAAATACAAGATCGCTTATGTTACGTTACTGCCATAGAAGGCCATAGGAACATGCAGGGGTATAAACCAGAGAAATGTTCATTGTCATGTTCATCAGTTCTTCACTGCGTGTAACGTACAACTATCACCAGCGAAGTCATCAGCAACACTTTTTACCACTTGGATAAAGGCAGTAAACTTAACCCTTGGCGTCGTTTACTCAACTAGCCGGCAGCACCCGAAGAACTGGAAAAAGAAATCTTGTTAGCTACATATAAAATGATTGGTCGGTCAGTGGTTAACTATGCTGCTCCAGTGTGGTCGCCTTCTCTCAGTGATACCCAGTGGAGAAACATTCAAAGCTCCCAAAATGCTGCCCTAAGGACTTTAGCGGGCTGCCTAAAAAATACCTCGGAACATCATCTGCACAAGTAAACGAAGGTCTTCCCAGTCAATAAATACAATGTCATGTTGACTAAACAGTTCCTCCTGGGGTATCATCGTAGGAGTCATCCAAACTTTAGCATCACACAGTTGGGTACTCCCCCGAGGCATGTCAGGAATGATCTTCAAGTATTCGAGGAGAACGTATGCAGATATGTGCAGGATCCATTAGATCAGTCTTCGTGTACAGCAGCTTTGAACGACATACATAGAGAGGCGATCAATTCCGCTGCTCAGGATACCGCATGAATGTACTACTTATAGGTCGCCCATAGCAGTCACAGAAGAAAACCTGCCGCGGAAAACAAGAGTAGTTCTGGCACAACTAAGATCGGGATGGAGCAACAGGCTTAATGCCTACTGGTGACGTATAAACCGTGTCGTCCCCACATATTCAACTGCTCAGCTAACGATACTTCACTTTGTCCAATGGATTAAGAACACATCCAGGGGAAGTAGCACAAATTTAAGATGTAGAACCCCAACTAAATTATTGTATAGTTATAGCTTTTACAACAACAACAACGA